TTCTTCTTCTTCTTTTTCTTCTTCTTCTTCTCTTGTCTCCTCCCCCTCCTTCTCTCTCTCTCTCTCTCTCTCTCTCTCTCTCTCTCTCCCTCTCCTAGATTATGTTAGACTTCCAAGGCAGGACTTAATCTTTGGGCCCCCAAGTAGTTAAGATTACAGGAATGTGACACCACACTTGGAATATGTTTAAGCTTTGGTCCTCAGAATGGTATCTAAATTCTCAGGAAATAGAAATATGTCAATGTGGACATACAATATATTTAGTGACAACAAATTGGTTGCCCTAATCCTGTACACATGACCTAGACCATCAAACATTGCTACCAAACTTGACTCCACAATGTTCATTGACCACTCATGTCTGTCTTTCCAGTGCAGCATCATTAAATTTCCATCTCCTGCTTTTTACTACTAAAATGTGGCTGTTTTAATTGGCTTTTTGAAGATAAATGTCCAAACTTGACTTCCTGGTTGCAGTCTATAAGTGCGCCACCAGCTAACCTCTGATTTGCTCCCTGTCACGAGACAGGCATCTGACTTTCTAGTTTCTAGGACAAGGTCATAGAAGCACATGTTGGACCGTTATGGCTTCAAAAGGGAAGCTGGTTACTTCAATTGCTTGGAAAGAAAGGATTCTTTCTCCGGACAACATGATGTGTTAGGAAGAGCCTAGGCTTCAACATCAGGTTTACTTGTCTTCAAAGCTTCATTTTACCCCTGGATTGCAGCATGACCTTGCACTAGTAACTGCCTCTTCCATCACTTTTCATCTTCCAGGAGACATTCCAGGAGCTGGAGAGAAGGCAATGTACCTGGTACATAGCAAGAGAGCACTCAGTGGGTTCTAACTGGATGGTTTGTGACCCCTGATCTATTAGTAGCTCCTCAGCTGGAGCTGTGTTGTTGAAGGGAAAGAAGCCTTCTGTAGGTTAACTTTCTCCAAGGGTTTTAAAGTGTGAAGTATATTATTTAAGTCAAGATGAATTTGTATACTGCATTAGGCATCTCTATATTTTCTTTCTGAAGAAGCAGAGGTGATTTGTTGTTTGTTTCTGCAGTCCTAGGGTGAAGTTAGGGCCTTATGCATGCTAGCTGAGCTACATCTACAGCCCCAGTTTTCCTTCATCATATTCATTCAGGAATTCTAACTACTTAAGTATACCTACTCATGGAAGCATAAGGAATTCGGGACAATGTTTTAAACATACAAACATATGTGCCTCAGTGGGTGTAGTGTGGTAGAGTTTGAGGTCTTTTGATTACCAGGACAGAGCAATTTAGAAAACGATTAGTTTCATCAATTTGATTGTTCCTGCTGTTAACTATTCTGAATTTTCCTAAATAATTCATTATTGACATGAGTATCAGTCGAAAATAGAACTGAATGAATTTCATTATTACTTAAACAGCCATTAGAATAGTCTCTACTTTTATTTGGGGTATGTGGGTGAACCCGAAGCTTTCTGCATATGGGACATACATTCTGCCAATGAGCTTTACTCCAGCCTCTGAGGATTTGTAAATGCTTTTTTTGTCTTGTTTTTTCTTTGATAGACTTGTGTTCGCTATTTCCAAACATGTAATAATGTACATGTTTTAAAGCCAAAATGTGTGTGTTCCTTCGGTTATTCTTTGCTCAAATACAGTCAACCACATCTCTCCCTGAGAACAGCAGCTGGTGAGTATGCTTCCCAAATAGCATGGCAAATAATGTTATCTTTATTGACTCTTTTTCTTAGTAACTGAAGACTTGCCAAAGTAAAAAAGTTGAGCCTATATTTCTAGCGTGGCTCTCCCTACCTCTATCCATTTCTTCTTTTCTTTCCCCCTCCACTCCATAGTTTCTCTTAGTGTTGGTCTTTCTCCAGTTGGGGCTGGGTTATACCCAGTCATTTGTTCTTTATTCTCTGGTTTTCTAGGGTACAATCATTAGCACTGATGTGACCCTCACAGTTAAGCTAAATTGCTGACTTAATAGAAGCATCTTAATGTCCTTGTGCAGTAACTCTGCTTGTGACATGAAAATTAATCTACTGTTAGGATGGCATAGTTAAGCTAAATTGCTGACTTAATAGAAGCATCTTAATGTCCTTGTGCACGTCTGCTTGTGACGTGAAAATTAATCTACTGTTAGGATGGCACGATATAATTAATCACTCTGACTGTCCCTGAATAGAGAGCTCCTTGGCTTTTATCTACTTACCTTTCTCCCAGCTACCCAGCCTCTGTAAATAACTTGAGGCTTCAAGTATTAGATTTGGCAAAGGCATAAGAGCTTTTTTCTGCCTATGTATTAAGAACTCTGTCAGAGAACCCTAGATTTCTTTATATTCTTTAGCATTTGGTAGATACAGAGGCACTGGCAATTGGAAATCAGAGGAATTATAGGCAGATTCTGCCCACTTTTCCATGCTTTTATATGCTATCCTCAATTAGCACCACATATACAATATCTATAGTAATTTATTTTGGTAATTGTATGGATGGAGAGTGTGTGTGTGTGTGTGTGTGTGTGTGTGTGTGTGTGTGTGTGTGTGTGTGTGTGTGTGCTGAAAATACATATGTGTGGTGCTGAAAATAAAACCCAGGACTTCACACATGGAGGCAAGCCAAGATTACCATTTTCTAACCCTGATCACGTGTTACTTCCCAGAGAAAGTAGAGGCCACTTTGGGAGGAACAGCAAGTTCCTGCTTTGTCCTCTAAACACTTCTTGTGAACTCTGGGTCTCTGTTTATCAATTGCAGGTTATGTGGGCTACTGTGTGGCATTGGTTTGTTTTGAGACAGGGTTTCTCTATGTAGCCCTGGATACCCTGGAACTCACTCTGGAAACCAGGCTGGCCTCAAACTCACAGAGCTCTGCCTGACTCTGCCTCCTGAGTGCTGGGGTTACAAGTGTGCACCACCACTGCCCAGCTTCCTGTTTATTCATTATTAGCTGTGTAACACTGAGAAAGTGGCTTGTCTCTGTTTCACCATCTGGAAAATGAGTAACCATAGTATTTAATTCAATTGTGCTGCTGTGAGCATCCATTCAGGAAGTGAGATCACCTGTGTGCAAGGCACTGCCTAAGGCTGTATCAATAGACCAAACAGAACTTTACATTGGACACATTAAACAAAATAGGGTGTATGTTTAAGTACCTCTGTCTCTGTCACTCACCATCTTTTAAAGTTTCTTTTACTCTGCTTAATGGAGAGAGAAAAGAAAAGTCTTAGAGATGATTTGGCAGAACATAATTTGGACATATTAAAAAATGTTCAGTGGGCTGGAGAGATGGCTCAGTGGTTAAGAGGTCTGGCTGCTCTTCCAGAGGTCCTGAGTTCAATTCCCAGCAACCACATGTTGGCTCACAATTATCTATAAGATCTGGTGCTCTCTTCTGGCCTGCAGGCAGGCATATATGCAGGCAGAACATTGTACATAATAAATAAAATTTTTTAGAGAGAGAAAAAGAGAGAAGGAAGGAAGGAAGGAAGGAAGGAAGGAAGGAAGGAAGGAAGGAAGGAAGGAAGGAAGGAAATGTTTAGGCATGGTGGTACACACCTGTAATCCCAGCAGCACTCTGTAGACCAGGCTGGCCTTGAACTCACAGAGATCTGCTTGCCTCTTCCTCCTGAGTGCTGGGATTAAAGGCGTGCGCCACCAACGCCCGGCGGTTATGTCTTTTAAAGTTATAAAATGTTGGATTTTTTAGTTTACTGGGTTTTGGTTTTTGTTTTTTCATTTGTTTGGCTTGGTTTGGTTGTCTATAGGATGGAAAGATTTCTGCCTCTATTTGAGAACATATTCTAATTTTAGAAATAAAAGTAGTTATTGATAATACATATTTAATGATATCATTTCCCATTTATTTTTGAAGTGCTACAGGGACAGGTTGTTCAGTTCAAACTCTCTGACATTGGAGAAGGGATTCGAGAAGTAACTATTAAAGAATGGTAAGTTAGTCTCAAAGTAATTTTACATCAATGTAAAATTAATTGGATATGTAAAAAGTGAGACTCAAATTAGGAAACTTCTTTGCTGATATTCTGGTAACAGAAGTTATTTCTCAAGTCTCTTTCTTTGATGTGATTTATTAGTGATTGTTACTTTATTTTATGTATGTGTTTTGCATGCATGTACGTCTGTGCGCCATGTGCCCTCAAAGGCCAGAAGAGGGTACAGATCCTCAGGAACTGGAGTTAACAGATGGTTGTGAGCCACCATGTGGGTGCCAGGAATTGAACCCAGTACCCTTAATGGCAAAGCCATCTCTCCAGTCTGTTTCTTTCTCTTTAAAGTCCTTGTACTGTCTATTCTTTGCTTCAGTTAAGAAAGAGATTGCTTTCTAAGTGATGATAAGTTGATATAAAACCAGAGCAATGAAATAATCAAATCCAGGGTAGTGAGCCTGCAAACTAAGCACCTCTAAATGACACCAAGCCCCCATGGTTTTGAAAGAATCTAATGTATGAACTCACAATTTCCTTCCTAATATCTTCAAAACTCCTGTCATCAAACTCTCTATCATACTGAAGATGGTTTTCAGTAAGAAGATGGTTTTCAGGTTCTCCTGTCATCAAACTCTCTATCATACTGAAGATGGTTTTCAGTAAGAAGGCTTGGTTCATGGTACCTGGCATATCTTGCCCGTAGATACTTTACCTGAAAGGCACAAATCAAAAAATCTTCCTCAAAACCTAAAAAATTAGGACTAGAGAGATGACTCAGTGGTTAAGAGCATGAACTGCCCTTCCAGAGGTCCTGAGTTCCTTTCCTGGCACCAACATTTGGCAGTTCACAGCTGCCTGTGACTTCACCTCTAGGGGAATCCTACGCCTCTGTCTCATACATACATGCCTCATACTTACATGCCCCCATCCCAGTTAAAACAAAAACTTTAAATTTATATAATATAGATATACATACATACATACATACATACATACATACATACATACATGCTTAGAACAAAAGGAAGAAATCCTCTACTGTCTTTGATATTCTCCACCCTTTTGTGTCTTTCTTCTTTTGGGAAAAAAAATCCCTCTTGTCATTGAACTAAGTTTTAAGGGTTTTTAGAAGTAGCAGTTATGATGGTTAAGGAGATTTCTCCTCATAATTCTTTATTTTTTGCACCTCAAGATTTTTACTCTATAACCCAACCTAGCCTTAAACTTGCCATCCTTCTTTCTCAGCCTCCTTAATGCTGGGATATTGGTTATGTTCCACAGTGCTTGGCTTAAATATTCTACTGAGGCCAGTGAATGGCATTTTCTCTACTTAGCATTCTTTGCTTTGTAAGCAGAGGGTTTCAGTAAGTACCTATCCTTACAGTTGTCTTTCCTGACACTGTGTCACTGTGAGGCAAGCCAAGGACTCAGAAGAGCCTGGCTTTGAACCTTGTGATGCAGCTCTTCTCCACTGAGCCACTGCCTCTCATGGTGTAGAATCAGGTGACAGTCAAGAGTGGCTCTCCCAGCTCACGGTGGCTGTTAATACAATTAAATGTAATATGTAGGAAAAGTCTTACCTCTCCGAAGGACTGTATATATTTGACTTATTGATGCTTTACTTCAAGACCAAGTTTTCTTCTAGACTAAATTAAAATTTAACTTCTTAATTTCTATTTTATTAATTTTGTAGATTCACATCTATAGTAAAGGGGTTAAGGCTCTTAGAAGATCAAATTATTTTTTTCCTAATGAGAATCTTAAGGCCAGGCCTGGTTTTCTCAGCTACTTTGGAGGGTGAGGCTGGAGGATTTCAAGTTTGAGGTAAGCCTGCCCTACACAGAGAGAATCTAAATAGTTTAGTTTTTTATGTTTTATTTTTGAAATGGGGGTATCTTGATACGTAGCCTAGGCTGACCTTGTATTTATGATCCTCCTGCCTCTGTCTCTTGAGTGATGGGATCATCACTGTGCCTGGCTCTCATGCCTGTCTCTGCTGGTATCAAAGGCGTGCGCTGCCACGCCCCCCCCCCCCCCCACACTGCTCATGTTCAGCTTTTTAAACTATCATTTCTGACCCCGTCCCTTTCTTTCCAATGGAGACAGCAGCATTTGTGTTAGCATACTTTATGACTTTGTCTCAGAAGTCTCTGAGATTGGTTCATTTTTCCTTTGCCGTTCTCAGATCTCAATTGACTGATCCTCAGATTCACTGATTTTTCCTTTTACCAAAAAGAATCTGCTGCTCAACCCTTCTAGTAAATTATTTTCATTTTAGTCCATCTTTAACTGCAAAATTTGGTGTGTATTGTCATGTATCTATTTCTGCTGCTTTGTTGCTGTTTTCTATTTAGCAGGGTATCATTTTCCCATGCTTCCTTCAATTTTGGGACATTATTTTAGTTCTTTGTTCCTTAAGGCTACAGCTGTCCTAGGCCAAAATAGGATGGTACCAGAGCAAGTTAAAACCACAAAGGATGCATGTTGAAGACATCATCATTGTTGTCATCATTATTGTTATTTATTTCCAAAAACTGTTCATTCTTTAAGTCTGACAAAAAGTTAATACAGGTTGAATATCCTTTATCTGAAATATTTGGTTATCAAATCTACTTCAGATTTCATATTGTAGATTATAGACTACTTGCTTAGGCTTCATCATTTGAGCATCCAGAATCCAAGGTTTTGAACATCACTGTTTGGATAGATTAGGCTTCATCATTTGAGCATCCAGAATCCAAGGTTTTGAACATCACTGGATAGAAAAAAAATTCAGATTTTGCATTTTCTAATTAGGGATGCTCATTATATAATTTTATGCAAGAGGAAATACCACTTTATTTTCTAAAAAAAGTGGATCAAGCAGAATTAAACCTGGAGGTATGGGGTTTAGTTTTGGTTTTTAATTTTAGCATTTGTTAGGGGTTTGTCAAAGAAACTTTGAAAGCCATTTTCATCTTTTCTAAAACATTTCCTTGTGCACCATCTGGGCGTCAGAGCTGGGCTAATGGTTTTTAATGTACTGTGAGGCATTTACAGGAACATGCAAGGATGATTTATCGTGACTACTCATGTAAAAGTGTCCTTGTCTCTTCCTTCCAGGTTTGTAAAAGAAGGAGATACCGTGTCTCAGTTTGACAGCATCTGTGAAGTTCAAAGTGACAAGGCCTCTGTCACCATCACCAGCCGTTACGATGGTGTCATTAAGAGGCTCTATTACAATCTAGACGATATCGCTTATGTGGGGAAGCCACTGATAGACATCGAAACAGAAGCTTTAAAGGGTAAGTGTGTCTTGCTGCATTTGTCATTGCTGTCCTTTTGTTGTTGTTAGTCCTTTCCGGGTGTGGTGATCCCAGAGCTTGTCAGGTGGAAGCAGGAGGATTGTAAGTTTGAAGCCAGTTCAGGCTACTTATCCTGGGCTACAGAGAAACTCTGTCTCAAAAATAGGATAATTCTAACTCACAGAAGCTGGGATGGGGGGCTGGAGAGATGGCTTAGTGGTTAAGAGGTCTGGCTGCTCTTCCAGAGGTCCCAAGTTCAATTCCCAGCAACCACATGGTGGCTCACAACCATCTATAATGAGATCTGGTGCCTTCTTCCATCCTGCAGGCAGACATGCAGGCAGAACATTATATACATAATAAGTAAATAAAAAGAATCTTTAAAAAAAATCCTTTCATTAAAAAAAAAAGAACCTGAGCTGGGGATTAAGAACATGAAATTAGGAAAACTGAAAAGATTTTCTGTGATATCTGATTATCTTTCCATCAGATACTACAGCAAAAACCTGTACAGTAAGACTTCATCTGTCTGAATGTCTGACTTCTGGAAACTTTATGTTCAATGAATCAAGAAGCCCTCTCAGGGACTAAAGATTGAGATGCACAACACTGGTTAGTAAGAGCACAAATTGGAGTCTAGAAAAGTTGAACCTAACATAGTAGGTTCAGTGTTTCACATCTGGAATCTTCACTGCCTTCGCCTCTTTGTGGATGGCTAATGGTGATAGACACATCATCGCAGGATTTTGTGTAGAGGCAGGAGTCACCTCTGTGAACCAAGAGCAGAGAGAGAGCTTCAGGGTTGCAGGAGAGAGAGCACACCTCTGCGGTGTCCTAAGGACAACTCACTTGGTCCCAGTTCTTAAAAATTCCACAGCACTTCTCAGTATTCCCTCCCCCAGGATCAAGTCTCCAGTACAGGACTCTGGGGGAGGGTGGAAGAGGATACTCAAACCATAACAGCACAGACACATATTTTTATTTTTTTCTGTAATACACATGTGCATTTTCCACTGATGGTGACCATGAAAGCCACAATGCCTCAGAAGCAGAACAGAAAATAAAGAAAATCAATGTACAAAAAGTGATTGGGTAGAATTAGCTGTCATGGCGCTTACAAGTAGATGTAACACAGGGAATTCATTATGAGAACCAGAGGGAAACAGAAACATTGGGCAGTCCCATCAGTGGCAGAGAGCTAGCTTTCTTTCTCAGAAGTTGATCGAGTTTATCATCTTGAAAAATAGCTTCAGCATCAGGTTAGGAGAGCAGTGGGTTCTGTGGTAGCGACTGAGGAGATGGCTAAGTAGGTAAAACGCTGCCATAGAAGCATGAGGACCCAAATTTGGATTCCTAGAACCCATGAAAAAGCTGGACATTGCAGAGTGCATCTGTGTCCTGAATTGGGTGAGAACAGAGAGGCAAATCCCAGGAGCCTACTGGCCAGCCAGTTTACCTACAAAGGGGAAGCCCAGGTTCAGTGAGAGACCCTTTCTCAAAAGCTAAGGTGGAAAAATAATTGACAAAGACATCTGACATTGTCCTCCGGCCTTTGTATATGCATCCATGAGCAGGAGTGCAAGTGGGCTCACATACATACAGTAAAAATTAGGGCTGGTGTGGTGGTGCACACCTTTAATCTTAGCACTCAGGAAGTAAACACAGATCCCTCTGAGTTCCAGGCCAGCTAAGGCTACATGAGACCCTGTCTGAAACAAACAACCCAGTAAGCATTAAAAACTCTTAAAATACATCAATAATGGGGTTCATAAGGCAGAATTTGTTATATGTGAAATATTGAATAAAGATATAAGTAGCCTACTTCAGAAGTCAGGAGAGTTTGAATGATAGTGGCAGATAGTTCTTCAATTCCATTATTTATATAATAATAATACTATCTAATATTATAATCACTTTCTTTCCAGAATCACATTTCTTGTAGCTTGAGTAAGAATGAACCCCCCTCCATAGGCTCATATATTTGAATGGTTATTCACCAGGGAGTATAACTGTTTGAGAGGGTTAGGAAATATTGAATAAAGATATAAGTAGCCTACTTCAGAAGTCAGGAGAGTTTGAATGATAGTGGCAGATAGTTTTTCAATTCCATTATTTATATAATAATAATACTAATATTATAATCACTTTCCAGAATCACATTTCTTGTAGCTTGAGTAAGAATGACCCCCTTCATAGGCTCATATATTTGAATGCTTATTCACCAGGGAGTCTTTGATAGGGTTAGGAAATGTGGATTTA